GTCTAAAGTCTTTCCGCCTCAGTCTTATTTCTGAGTTCTATTCTTTACTTCTCAACTATCTTTCGAACATTTCCATTTAGTTTTACTGGCCTGTACTCCCAGATTTCCCATTTTGTGTTTGTGTTACCACTCTTACAGTCATTCTGAAAGCCCTTTCATCAAGTCTGATATAAAGCCATACGTCTTTCTTTGCACAGCGTTTTGATATGCTGCACTTTTCCCATGTTCACTATCACTGCTCTTTTTTCCTATTGGATTTCACTTCCAGTATTTTTTTTTTTTTTTTTTTTTTGACAGGCAGAGTGGACAGTGAGAGAGAGAGAGACAGAGAGAAAGGTCTTCCTTCGCCGTTGGTTCACCCTCCAATGGCCGCCGCACCGCGCTGATCCGATGGCAGGAGCCAGGTGCTTCTCCTGGTCTCCCATGGGGTGCAGGGCCCAAGCACTTGGGCCATCCTCCAGTGCACTCCCTGGCCACAGCAGAGAGCTGGCCTGGAAGAGGGGCAACCAGGACAGAATCCGGTGCCCCGACCGGGACTAGAACTTGGTGTGCCAGCGCCGCAAGGTGGAGGATTAGCCTAGTGAGCCACGGCGCTGGCCCACTTCTAGTATTTTAGTAGCTTTTCAATTGGATCTCCTTTATGTTGTCTTTTCCTCTGATTTGTTTGGTATAGAGTGTCCAGATAAGTTGAACTAAAATATCACTTGTTTTCCTGCTTCTTTGCTAAAGAACACACAGTGTCTCCCCCAACTTCCATAACTACTAAGATCAAATTCAGGATGGCCAGGGCAGGTGTTTGGCACAGTATGACACCACTTGGAATGCCCATGTCCTGAGTGCTTGCAGTCCTGGCTCGTCTGCTTCCAATCCATTTTCCTTCCTCCCAGGGGGGAGGCAGGAGATAGTGGTTCAAGTATTTGAGTTCCTGCCATGTATATGACTTTCAGCATGGCCCTGCCCTAGCTGTTGCAGGCATTTGGGGTATGAATCAGTGGATGAAAGATCTTTCTCTGTCTCTCTGCCTTTCAAATAAAGTGAAGAATAAATACAAAATGTGAAAAATAACTTAGGTTGGCCCCTTTTTCCCTGTTGCTTGCCCTCTCACTTCTCTTTCAGACCGTCTTCTTTATTGAGTGGGTGCTTAAGTGTTCTGGACCATAGTGGTGGTCTTACTGCCTCCAGGTCTCTTTGGATTTATTCAGAAAATCTCAAAGTCTTTGTTACTTTCTTTGTGAATATTTTTTATCTTTCCCCAATTGGATTATCAGCTCTTTTAAAACAGGGTCTGTACCTCATCTGCATTTTTGTTTATACTTGGCTGTTTTTGGTTGGACATTCAGTAAACATCTAATTTAGTGATATTATTAAATAAGAAACTCAACTGATATGTTAATACAGTGGAGATTTATGTGTTCAAAGATGGTTTTAACTTTTGAAATGTTTTTTCCCTTGCTTATGCATCAAGTTCAGTTGACGTCAATACAGTGACAGTCACTTTTACTCTGTAAATTTGGGCATTTTGATAAATTGATCTCTTTAAAAATCATTCCTTCAAAGGTTTCTCAGAATATGTATAAAAGTTATCAATTTGAATATGACTCTAAGAAAGCAGTCAATATGAATCTGTGTTCCTGTATATAACAAACTAAAGATATTCTCACCTTCACGCTTGCCAGATAAAAGTTTTGAAAGTCAATGGACTTTGTTATAGGTGTATGTTCAAAAGTGATGTGTTGCTTATTTGAGTCAACATGAGGGAACATCCAGTGATGTAGACTGTAAGTGAGATAGTTCATTTGAGGAAGGTTTAGAGGACAACAGACAGGCGGTTATGACAGATAAACCAAAAAATGTTATCTTCTGCTTGGTTTCTTACTGTTTCTCCGCTTAAATAATATATGGAGGTTTCATTTCTTTTTTGATTTATTGCTGTTACAAGGGAGTCCTTTTAAAAATCTTCACAGTGTTGTTGAATATTTTCCATATTTCTCATAGCTTTTTTGTCAATAAAATTAGAAGTTTCTTTAATGCCTTTTTTCCAAAGCAGAAGATAAGACTGCCTCACCTGTTGCTTTTCTTATGTTGTTAATCTTTAAAGCACCTAAGTTCGGAGTAAGAAATCCACATTTCTGTTAGGTACCATTGACTCATAGGAAAAAAAATCATTCAAGAGCTACCTGTAAGTTAAAATAAACTAAATAGCTTATTATATGACTTGTAGTTGGAGAGGGAAGAAACTGATAAAAATAGGAAGAATTAAGTAATGCATACCTAATGACTAGCTTGAAAGTATTTTTGGCTGTCTTTATCTAATTTGTTAGGAGTGATGAGGTGCCTTGATGACAAGGGACTGTTAAATTTTTCTGCAAAAATTTGAGTAACTGGTATTCCTAGTTCTGAGTATTCTTAGAAATGATTAATTGTTCTGAGCCCTTCCCTTGCCTTCTTTCCAAGTACAATTCAGTGTTCTTATCTAGCTTGGTTCAATTTGGAACCAAACAATACAATAACATTGATTTTTAACCCTGTTAAATGTTTTTATGAGTAAGTCTGAAACATACTAAGAATGAGTATTTCTGAGCTAAACTTGAAGTCAAATTTAAAATGTAGAGTCTGTCTTTTCAAGATAAGTTTGTAGATTGGATTTGGTAATTGGATCATCTTTTCATGATTAATGTATCCTCCTTATGCCTTTCTGAGAAGCCTAACCTTCTAGAACCTAAAGAATTATTCAAGGAAAGCACATAATGAAATAATTTTAGAATGAGATTCAATTTTACCTTCAAAACTGTGTGCCTTCTAGCAATATATTCTAATATCATTGTCCAAAATAATTTATATGTAAATATTTTCATATACTTGAAGATGTCATTTTAAGTCTCACAGACCTTACACATTGGCGCCTTTTTTTTTTTTTTAAAGATTTATTTATTTACTTGAAAGTCAACGTTAACAGAGAGAAGAGGCAGAGAGAGAAAAAGGTCTTTCATCCACTGGTTCACTCCCCAGATGGCCTCAACGGCTGGAGCTGGCTGATCCGAAGCCAGGAGCCAGGAGCTTCCTCCAGATCTCCCATACCAGAGTCCTTGGGCCATCTTCTACTGCTTTCCCAGGCCACAGCAGAGAGCTGGATCAGAAGTGGAGCAGCCGGGACTCGAACCGGCACCCATATGGGATGCCGGCACTGCAGGCGGTGGCTTCTCCCACTGCACCACAGCGCCAGCCCCCCCCCCTTTTCTTTTCTTTTTTTTTTTCAAAGAAGGAACTCCCATTCTCCGGTTCACTTTCCAAATGACTGCAATAGCTCAGGCTGGTATAGGCCAGAGCCAAGGGCCAGTAATACAATCTGTGTCTCCCACGCGGGTGACAGAGACCCCACCACCGGAGCCATCTCCTGGCTGCCGGCTGGGGTGTGTATTAGTTGGAAGTGGAAGGGCGTACTGATGGAGCATGCGGATATCTCGAGCTATTTCTTAACCACTAGGCGCAGCCCCTACCCTGGAGCATCTCATAGTAAGGAGGCTATGTTGACTTCATTGCTCCCTTCTCATTCATATGGTGGAATGAGCAATCTGATTTCTAATTGGGATGTATATTTAATGAAGCCTGTCTGAGTTTGGTTCATTGAGAAGGTAGTGTTGTAATAGCATCCAAAAGACCACATTGTAGTTTCCTCATATGTACCAGGTGGCAAGAAGCTTAGGATCATAGTGTCTCTCTGGTGCTGGTGAGGGTTTTTTATTTTTTTTTTTTTTTTGGACAGGCAGAGTGGACAGTGAGAGAGAGAGAGACAGAGAGAAAGGTCTTCCTTTGCCGTAGGTTCACCCCCCAGTGGCTGCTGTGGCTAGCGCACCGTGCTGATCCAAAGCCAGGAGCCAGGTGCTTCTCCTGGTCTCCCATGCGGGTGCAGGGCCCAAGGAGTTGGGCCATCCTCCACTGCTTTCCCGGGCCATAGCAGAGAGCTGGCCTGGAAGAGGGGCAACCAGGACAGAATCCGGCACCCTGACCGGGACTAGAACCCGGTGTGCCGGTGCCACAGGCGGAGGATTAGCCTAGTGAGCTTCGCCGCCGGCCCATAGCGTCTGTCTTGATAATAGAGTTTGGAAGAGTTTGGCTATGTCTATCCTGACTTTTTCAGATTGAATTTGTAAGGTTTGAAGTTTTCTCTTGAAGTTTTTTCTACATATTAATCAACAAGAAAAACTTCTCAGGAAGACTAAGTGTAGTCTGAGGTAGATGTTCCCCCATAGTCTTGGCTGCCTCCCTACCTTTCCTTACAAGTGCGTGACTATCTGCAGTACTTGGGACTGACTGTAGGATCTTACAGTGTGTTTACTGCTGACGTATTCAGCCCTGGCACAATCTGTATAGTAACTAAAGCTTCCTTTAGAGATGAATCTTTTAGTTTGTAATACTCCCTGTCTTGAAAAGGGGAGGGTTGTTTTTTTTTTTTTTTTCAATTAAAATTATCAGTCTTTTATTGTCTTATATAATGAGATACTTCAAGAAGTTCATGGAAAATACATGTTATGAAAAAACTACACATGGACTTTCAAATTTTCCTGCACCAGAATAAATTTAATTTTATTTCCTGAACTTTTTGAAGTACCCTTATATATTCTTTTTAGATGGAAAGTTAAAGGTAAAAGGATGTAGAGTTGACACTGAACTGTTGTAAGTCGAGGCCCTGGAGGCTGAGTCCAGTTTCCCCCATCCAGACTTAAGTAAGACTCCCATCAGGGATTCAGTGATCAGAAATACTGTGTACTTTGTTCCACTGCCTTTCAATAAGAATCAGTGTGTAAAGTTGAAATCTCCTCACCAGAGTTTGGAAGATGATGATGTAATTCTTGAGCCTTGATTCCAGAAGAAGGAGCACTCTGAGTGTGGGTTACTAGTTGGCGGTGAATTCATGAGTCGCCAGCTATTAGGCCTTTTTGTCCAGATATTACCTTAATTTATGGAGTAAGGTCCCTGAGTTCTCCTCTTTCCTTCCACAGGGCAAGCAGGAGGACTTCAAGACGACAGTTCTGGAGGGTATGGAGACGGCCAAGCATCAGGTGAGGGTGGCATTTAGATGCTTGCCACTTAGTAGCAAGAGCCGCCAAGTCAGGGATTGATGCTTGCGAGTGTTTTTTGGCTGTGGCATCCACCTCTTAGGCAGACGCACAGGGGAAATTGAAGCCACAGAACGGAGTGGTATCATAGGAGAGGCAGTAGCCAGAACAAAGGCAAGCAAAACCTTTTGAAGTCCTCAGGCCGATCTCAGCCCTCCACTCTTCTTCCTGTTTTTGAGGAGGTGGCGGGTACTGTTGTCCAGAGTAGCAGCCTTTATGGTAACAGTGAGCCTGATAGAAAACAGCCTTAGGGATCATGGGACCTTTACAGAGAATTAGAGCAGTATGTCTGCAGAGGCATTGAAGTTCGGAGGAGTTACACAGGCAAGTGACGTCTTTTTAGACATGGTTGATGTGGTGTTTGGTAGGTTTTTTAGTTAACGTTACCCAGTTAATCATTTCGCAGTTTAAGCGTTTTGTTTCTTTTGTGAAAATTATCTTCAAGATTATTTGAAATGCTTTTTCTTTTTAGACCAAACAATATATATTTTTACTTCTAGGAAAAAATAAAAGATTTTTAGGGACCACCTCCTGGAATAGTTAGAAGATTGTACCAGGAATTCAAAGTTATAAGTCTGGATTTTATCTTTCGCCTCTTGAAGGATGTTTTTGTGCTCAAAGCTGGTTTACATATACATCTTGTTGGGAGCTGAACAGATACTACTTCACTTTTGGAGGCTGTCATTTTTAGCTGTCTATTGCGTTTGCATACAGAAGATCCAGGGACTGTTTGTGTTTTACTCTTTTGGATAGAAGTTCAGTGTGAATACAGCAGTTCGTAGTTAGGGGATCCATAATCATAGTGGTTGACTTGTTTAAATGCCGTCCCAAGGAGCAGAGGTTGATAATCAGTACGTGCCTAGAAGACTTAAGAACATTCATTCCGAGTCTGTTTGTATGGGAGAATGCTTTTCATCAAATTATGCACAAGCAGCATTAGGGATGACCTGTGGAACTTGAGTCCTGAAGAAAGATACTCGGTTTTCTCATTGCTTTTTGTTTGTTTTGTCTTTTTTGAAAATGCTTGCTCTTTGCTTAAGTAAACAATATGGTGTATTGTTGAAAGTAAGAGTAGACTTCCGCATAGAACCATGGTGCTGAGTTGCAGGTGTTTCGAGGAATGGCAGTGGCTGTTCTAAACCCTTTAGAACCTCTGTTCAGGGCTTTGTCTAGGAATGGCGGTGGCTGTTCTAAACCCTTTAGAATCTCTGTTCAGGGCTTTGTCATGCTCAGAGGCATGTGTCTGTGAGATGAGCAATCAGACTGTACTCAAATGCCGTCAACATTCTTCTCTTAGGAAGCCAAATGACCCTCATGAGTATCTTGGGACCAGGATCATATCTTTACTTATTAAAATCTACCTTTCATGATGTGTATATCCTGAATCTTAGAGCCGGAAGGAACGTGAGGTTTTCTTGTCTAGGTTCCTGCCATCAAACACACGGTTATTGAATCTTCCCTGTTTTGTGGATTAGATCAGCCAGCTGTATACCACTAGCTGTGGAGGTGTGAGACCCCGGGGATCTTGCTGCTTAGTCCGTAGGTTATTCCTTATATTCTTAGAATCATATTTAAATAGGCATTTAACCTAAACATAAGAAATCTGAAGTTTGATTCTCTTTTTAAATTTTATTTATTTTTTATTCTCTTTTTAAAAATTTTTTCTCCTTGCTATCCTAAATTCTATTTTTAAACTATTAGTAGGACTTTGTATGGTATGTCTCTATTTCACTGATTTTAAGTCTTTTATATGTAGATACCATTAGGCTTTTGTTTTTACTCTTCAGCTAGAAATCTAGTTATAGATAATTTACCTGTTTTTAAAGGTCAAAGGCAAGTAACGATCATGGGGCCTTCTTTTCTTCTCTGCTGATTTTTATATCTGTTACCTTACTTTATTGTAGATGCTACCCGTTTCTTATCTGAATCAGAGAGAAGTGATAGCATGGAACAGAGGGGCTGCAATATCACTGCCCCCCCTCCCTGTCCGCCCCCTTTTCTTCCTCTCCAGTTGACCTTTTCCAGAAAGGCTGAATTATTCCCTTGTAACTGCTTTGACTATGTTTTGAAAGAAAGCGTGAGCCAGTGAGAGCATTAGGAAAGGACAGTTCTGCTTTAGCATGACTGCATTCTGAAGGTGGTGCTGGAGTTTGCTGGTGAAGTGGTGAATAGGAAGGCATTGAACAGAAGGCAAGATTGGTTGTAGGCAGCCTTGGAGCTTTTTACAATTTTAGGTAGAATCTTTGAACCATTCTGTTAAGTGCATACAAAAATCAGCCAAGTTCAGAACTCTTCCAGAGCTTCTGAATCAGAAGTACTACGCACACTTTTTTAAGGGATTTTTAAAAAGATTTATGTATTTATTTGCGAGGCAGAGTTACAAACAGAGAGGAGAGGCAGAGAGAGAGAGAGAGAGAGAGAGAGATTGAGGTCTTCCATCCACTGGTTCACTCTCCAATTGGCCTCAAAGGCCAGAGCTGCGCCGATCTGAAGCCAGGAGCCAGGAGCTTCTTTTGGGTCTCCCACGTGGGTGCAGGGGCCCAAGGACTTGAGCCATCTTCTGCTTTCCCAGGCCATAGCAGAGAGCTGGATCAGAAGTGGAGCAGCCGGGTCTCAAACCAGCACCCATATGGGATGTTGGCGCTTCAGGCCAGGGCATTAGCCTGCTGCACCACAGCGCCGGCCCCAAAACAAGGATATTGTTAAAGCCTATGTATTCTAAAAGATTTTCCCTCTAAAGGAGATACTTACAAACTAGACTAATAGTGGCCTATTAGTCCATTTTGGAATTATCCCATAAGAATGTTTTGATTTATCTGAACAGATTAGTTTCCAACTTACCATACTTTTTTGTTTCTTTGAAAAAAAGGTTAGCCTTTTTATCTTGTAGGCTTTTCACTCTGATTTGGTTCTTTGAAATAAACTCCAAAAGGAAATAAATGATCACTGAGAGTTTTTAGTTGTTATGTTATCTTTCATCTTAAATACTGGTATCAGAGTTCAGAGTAACTAGTTTTTTTGTTTGTTTTTTTGGACAGGCAGAGTTAGACAGAGAGAGAGACAGAGAGAAAGGTCTTCCTTCTGTTAGTTCACCCCCCAAATGGCCGCTATGGCCGGCGTGCTGCATCGATCCAAAGCCAGGAGCCAGGTGCTTCCTCCTGGTCTCCCATGGGGTGCAGGGCCCAAGCACTTGGGCCATCCTCCACTGCCCTCCCTGGCCACAGCAGAGACCTGGCCTGGAAGAGGAGCAACCGGGACAGAATCCGGCGCCCCGACCGGGACTAGAACCTGGTGTGCCAGCGCCGCAGGTGGAGGATTAGCCTAGTGAGCTGTGGCACCAGCCCAGAGTAACTAGTTTTTAAGATGTCATGTGGACGTGGATGTTTAGCTTGGCAGTTAAGACACAAGATGCCTGTGTTCCACATTGGAGTACCTGGGTTCAGTTCCCAGCTCTGGCTTCTGACTCCTTCATGCTGATTGGAGCTCCTGGGATGCAGCAATGATGGCTCAAGTAATTGGGTCCATGCCACCCATGTGGGACTTGGATTGAGTTCCTGCTTCCTGGCTTCTGCTCAGCCCAGGCCATTGCTGCCATTTGGGGAATGGATCAGCAGATAAGAGCTTTCTCTTTCAAATAAATAAATTAAAAGAAAAAAACTAAAACATTAAAAAAATGCGTGGAAGACAAAAATGGAGAAGACTATTATTCCAAGCATACAGTAAAGTCACAATCTTTAGCTTCTTTAACTGCATTTGTTTAAACTTTTTAAGACCATTTATTTAATTACTTGAAAGGCAGCTTCCATCTACTAGTTCACTCTCCAAACACCTACAACAGCTGTGGTTGGGCCAGGCCAAAGCCCACAGCCAGAAACTCAATCCCTGTCTCCCATGTGGGTGACAGGGACCCAAGTATTTGAGTCATCACCTACTGCCTTCCGGGGTACACATGAATAAGAAACTGGGAGTTGGGAGCAGAGCCAGGACTTGAATCTAGGCATTCCACTGCCGGATGTGAGCACCCCACTGGCATCCTAACTGCTGGGCCAAATACATGTTTAAACTTGAGATGTTTGATCTAGAGATTCTATGAAACTGCCATATAACTTGCATGAATATTCTGAATTGTTACAGTCTCACAATTTTCCAAAGTTAGCCATCTATATTTGAGTGATTTTTTTTAAAAACTTACTAATTTGAGGGGGCCGGTGCTGTGGCGCAGGGAGTTAAAGCCCTGGCCTGAAGCACCAGAATCCCATATGGGCACCGGTTCTAGTCCTGGCTGCTCCTCTTCCGATCCAGCTCTCTGCTATGGCCTGGGATAGCAGTGGAGGATGGCCCAAGTCCTTGGGCCCCTGCACCAGCATGAGAGACCTGGAAGAAGCTTCTGGCTCCTGGCTCCTGGCTCTGGATCAGTGCAGCTCCGGCCATTGCGGCCATCTGGGGAGTGAACCAGCGGATGGAAGACCTTTCTCTCTGTGTGTGTCTCTCTTTCACTGTCTAACTCTGCCTGTCAAAAAAGAAAAAAAAAAAAACTTATTTGAGACACACAGAAACACACACACACCCACACACACCCTGTTTCAAAGGCCCCCAACAGCTGAGGGGCCTGAAACACAGTCTAGATTTCCCAAGTGGGTGGTAGGGAACCCAGTCCTATCTCTGCTGCCTCCCAGCGTCTCCATTGGCAGGAAGCTAAAATCAGCCAGAGTCTGCCGTTGAACCCAACCACTCAGATTTGAGACATGAGTGCCTTAACTGTTAGGCCAAACACCAGCCCCAGCTGGAGTGATTTTTGATATGAGGAGCCAAATGTGATATAAATTTTTTTCCTACATAGTGTTTCTGCCTGTCATTAAAAAATATTTTTTTTGCAGTCAGATTGATGTTTAATGACTACTTAAAAATAAGTATAGAAGATAACTTAAAGAAGAAAACTATTTTTGGCAAGAAGTAGAGTTTAATAGAGATCATTGATTTCTGATATATGTATACATTCATGAAATATACTAAAAAACAACTTGTTCAAAGATTTGTTTCAGCTACTCAAAATTAATGGGTAGATATGCTCTTTATTTTGTGAGGTATTCTTGGTTTTCATTTTTGTTTCTGGTATAGTTTATTTAATTTTGCTTTGAGAGCAGAGAACTGGAGACATCAAAGCTGTATAGTTGTAGAAAATTTCACATTACTGTAGTAACTGTACCCTGATAGCATTTCTTTTTGTCCTTTAATTGCATGTTCCACCTGCAACAATATGGCTCTTACTGATAATTTTCTTATATCTAAGGAATAAAAATTAGTTGTGCTTACACTTAGTTTGGGATTAGTTCATGTAGAGGTTGTTGGTATTGTTTAGTGATGTGGAACACAGTATTTATGCCTTTATGCCTTCATGATGTGCAGTAAAGGGATATCCTTTTCTTCTTTGAGAGCAGTGTTTCTTAAGTGTGAGCCACATTAGATTTTTTGCTTGATCTTGATTTTTTTTTAAGGATTTATTTATTTATTTGTTTGAAAGAGTTACACAGAGAGAAAAGGAGAGACACAGAGAGAGAGACAGGTCTTCCATCTACTGGTTCACTCCCTACTTGGCCGTAGTGGCTGGAGCTGCGCTGTTCAGGAGCCAGGAGCTTCTTCCAGGTCTCTTATGCGGGTGCAGGGGCCCAAGGACTTGGGCCATATTCTACTGCTTTCCCAGGCTACAGCAGAGAGCTGTATCAGAAGTGGAGCAGCCAGGATATGAACCAGCGCCCATATAGGATGCCAGTGCTGCAGGCAGTGGCCTTACCCACTATGCCACAGTGCCAGCCCCTTGATCTCATGTTAATGATTATTTTTTCTCTGTAGTGTTTGCCATTTGAATGTCTTTGTGAAAACAGACCCCTTTATGGCTTAGATACAGTTTGCTAAGTTACATCTTAACTTACTTTGTTCTTTTTCTCCTAATTTTACTAATGCCTTCTTATTAATTTTTACTTTCACCACCAGTGCTTCTAATTCTTGTTTTATGTGCTTTAAAGTGATTTAAAATAAATAGGTATCTGGTACTTGTTATTGACATATAAATACTTAAAATTTTGAAACTCTTTAAATTGGGTGTTGGTATTTTTACAAACTGGTAGTTAAACTTAACTGTTTATAAGGTAGATCTTATATGACACAGCTCTGGCTGTTGCGGCCAGTTGAGGAGTGAACCATCGAATGGAAGACCTCTCTCCCTCTCTCTCTCTGCGTCTCCTCTCTCTGTGTAAACTCTGACTTTCAGATAAATAAATAAATCTTAAAAAAAAATAAGATGATCTTCTAAATACAAGTGCAATATAGACAAATATATTTCCTTTTCAAATTTTTATTTGTTTATATTATTTGAAAGGCAGAGAAAGAGATCTTTCACCTGCTGGTACCTGGAACAGCTGTGGCAGGGCCAAGCCCAAGCTGGGAGCTTAGAACTCAGTCTGGGTCTCCCAAGTGGGTGTCAGGGACCCAAGCATTTGAGCCATCACCTTCTACCTCCCAAGATGTGCATTTAAAAAAAAAAAGATATATTTGTTTATTTGATAGGCAGGCAGAGTTATAGAGAAGCAGGGGGCGGGGAGAGAGAGACAGAGAAAGAAGGGGGGTAGAGGTAGAGGTCTTCCATCTGCTGGTTCACTCCCCCAGATGGCCACAATGACTAGAGCTGCACCGATCTGAAGCCAGGAGCCAGGAGGTTCTTCTGGGTCTCCCACGCTGGTGCAGGGCCCAAGGGCCATCTTCCACTGTTTTCCCAGACCATAGCAGAGAACTGAATTGGAAATGGAACAGCCAGGCTCAAATCAGCACTCATATGGGATGCTGTCATCGAAGGCAGCAACTTTACTCGCTGCGCCACCGCGCCAGCCCCAAGATGTGCATTTAGCTAGAAGCTGGAATCAAGAGTGGAGCTGGAACTCAGCCCCTGACACTCTACTGTGGGATGTGGGTGTGTCAAGGTGATGTCTTAACCACTGCCCTTTGAAGTGTATTTCTGAGAACATCTTATAAAGCGGTACTTAGCTGTCAGCTTATAAAACTACCAGTTACACAAAGAATTTCACAATAATATAATTTACTTGGGTCTATACTACATGTATTATACAGTATATATTGTAGCATTTTACTTGTACTCTGTAAAGCCATAAAGCATTTCTGTTGTTTCTGCTGGAAAAGATAAATTCCTTGCATCCCTCTGTCTTAGCATTGTAGAGTCTGCCTAATTTCTCTCACTGTTTGTCAGCACTGAATAATGAGAACTAATGGATAATACTGTTGATGGGATTATGTATTTTCCATTGTTGGTTGTTTAATTTTAGAGCCATCTTTCTATTCCATGTTAAAGTCCTAAAAGTGCCTTTTGCTGTTTAGTGTTTCACTCTCTAGCTCTTTGTTAGTATTCTTTCCTTTATTCTGATTCTTCAATTTGATTTTTATTGTATACTGTCAATGATGCAGGTTTTTTGTTTTTGTTTTTAATGATTTACTTATTTGAAAGGCAGAGTGACAGCGAGAAAAAGAGGGAGAGATAGATATCTTCCATCCCTGGTTTACTGGTTGACTCCTCAAATGGCCACAGTAGTTAGGGCTGGGTCTCCCTAGTGGGTGGCAGGAGCCCAAGTACTTAGGCCATCTTCGCCTGCCTTCCCAGGTGTGTTAGCAGGGAGCTGGATTGGAAGTGGAGCAGCTCTGATATGGAATACTGGCCTCACAAGTGGAAGCTTAACTTCTTTAGGCCAGCCCCCAATGGTGCTATTTTTAACAGAATGTTAGCCAACATTATAAAGTTATTTTAGAAGTCAAGAACATATTCTAAATGCCTTGTCATCTCTTATAAGATACATTGTTTCACTAATTAATATGCTGTAAACTTTGTAATTTTAAGCTAAAGAGTGAATGATTTCTTTGAAATGTTTAGCTTTATATGTATATATATATATTAAAATTTATTGTATTTATTTGAAAGAGTTACAGAGAGGGGGAGAAAGACACATACCCATCTTCCATCTGCTGGTTCACTCCCCAAATGGCCACATCAGTTGGGGCTGGGTTAGGCTGAAGCCAGGAGCTTCTTCCCACGTGGGTGGGAGTCTCCCACATGGGTGCTGGGGCCCAAGCATTTGGGCCATCTTCTGCTGCTTTCCCAGATGCATTAGCAGGGAGGTAGATCAAAAAGTAGAGCAGCCAGGACTCAAACCTGGGCCCATGTGGGATACCATTGCTGCAGGCAGTGGTTTAACTCACTGTACCACCGCTCTGGCCCCAGGAATGTTCAGCTTCTGAGAAAAATTTAAAATTTCTTTTTTTTTTAAAGAGGTGAGATCAGTCTGTGAATAAGACTAAGTTCTTCAATAAAAAATGGAATTTGAGACATCATTACCAATCCCTAGCTTTTGGTTCACTTGCAGTTTTCCTAGAAGTACTTTGTTTTCTTTGCTAGGTGTGGAGGGTGCCGCTTTCCAGAGCAGACTCCCTCATGACCGCATGACTTCTCAAGAAGCAGCCTGCTTCCCGGATGTCATCAGTGGACCACAGCAGACCCAGAAGGTCTTTCTGTTCATTAGAAACCGCACAGTAAGTTTCCGTGTCAGCCTTTACTCACTGGAGAAGTGCATAGAACTTGTGTAGAGACTACAGGCAAAAAATTAGAGTGTCTATATTATATTACCCACCAAGGATAACCGTGGCTAAAAAGTCAGTTTTTCCTTCAGGTTTTTTGTTTTTACAAAATTCAGAGCTTACATTTATTCTTTTGGATCCTTTCCATACTTCATAAACTTAAGTACCCTTTAAGAGTCTTATATAAACATTAATTACTTAATATTATCATTTTGTCTTTCCTTCCCAGGGTAAGAGAAACTTTTTTTTTTTTAAAGATTTATTTATTCAGGGCCGGCGCCGCGGCTCACTAGGCTAATCCTCCACCTTGCGGCGCCGGCACACCAGGTTCTAGTCCCGGTCGGGGCGCCGGATTCTGTCCCGGTTGCCCCTCTTCCAGGCCAGCCCTCTGCTGTGGCCAGGGAGTGCAGTGGAGGATGGCCCAGGTGCTTGGGCCCTGCACCCCATGGGAGACCAGGAAAAGCACCTGGCTCCTGGCTCCTGCCATCGGATCAGCGCGGTGCGCCGGCCGCAGTGCGCCGGCCGCGGCGGCCATTGGAGGGTGAACCAACGGCAAAAGGAAGACCTTTCTCTCTCTGTCTCTCTCTCTCACTGTCCACTCTGCCTGTCAAAAAAAAAAAAAAAGATTTATTTATTCATTTATTTGAGAGGCAGAGTTACTGACAGAGAGAGGGAGAGACAACGATGAGAGGTCTTTTAATCCGCTGGCTCACTCCCCAAATGGTCTCAATGGCTGCAGCTGGGCCGCTCCTAAGCCAAAAGCCAGGTGCTTCCTCTGGGTCTCCCACTCAGGTACAGGGGCCCAAGGACTTGGCCCATCTTCTACTGCTTTCCCAGGCCATAGCAGAGAGCTGGATTAGAAGTGGAGCAGCCAGGACACAAGCAGCCGCCCATATGGGATGCCAGCATAGCAAGTGGCAGCTTAACCTGCTGTGCCACAGCACTGCCCCCCGCCATTGATTATTTTCTTAAATAATCAAGGAGATGTACCTTGTACATGGGTATTAATATTTTTTAAAAGATTTATTTACTTATTTATTTGAAAGGCAGAGTTAGAGCAAGAGAGAGAGGGAGAGAGAGATATCGAGATCTTCCATCCCTTGTTCTCTCCCCAGACGGTCGCAATGGCCAGAGCCAGGAGCTTCTTCCAGGTACTCTACATGGATGCAGAGGCCCAAGTACTTGGGCTATCCTCTGCTGCTTTCCCAGGTGCATTAGTAGGGAGCTGGACTGGAAGTGGAGCAGCTGGGCCCTGAACCAGCGCCCTTATGGGATGCCAGTGCCACAAGCGCTGGCTTTACCTGGTACGCCACATGCTGGCCCCATTTTCACTTTTTACTGAAAGTTGAGTAATGAATTTATAGTAATTTCTGTTTTTTCTTATTCATATGACTAAAAACTCCATATTTGGGGAAGGTTGGTCTAGATTAAAGCTGTAGTCTCTAGCTATTAACCAAAAATATAAATCATTTCCTTCTGCAGGAATGTACCAGTTCTCTGATTCTAAACTACATCTTTTGCCTATAGATTTTCAAAGTACTGCTTGAGGTTTATTGAACTAGAATCTGTGACTTGAGCTTTATTTCATACAATGGAAAGAGGAAGAAGACTTGTGTTGAAGGTTGAGGAGCTTTGGCCAGTGTGTATGTGAGGAATTATATTTTCCCCTGACAGTGGCCACAGAGAAACATGGAGAATCCATATGGATTTGATCATATTGGTTTTGTAATTTGATTGATTTACACATAACCACATTAGCTTTCTTGGTTGAAATTTTTCTGTGGAGTAAGCAGTCTTTACTCGCTTTTGGCTAGGATTTAAATATGGTGGTATTTAGTTTGTCTTGCTTTTTGCAATTGCATATTCACTTTGAAGACAATTCCTGCTAGACCCATTGATTGCACTATAGTGTTTTTCTTTCCTTATCTTACTGCTTTTTAGCAATACTTGAAATAATTGCTCACTTCTTTCTTCCTAAGTAAACTGCTCCCTTGGCTTTAGTAGCATAGTATTCTGGTTTTTTCCCTGCTTGTTATCTTCTAATTGCTCTGTAGGTTTATCAGCTACTGCTTGGGAGCTCCTAAAGGACCTCTGCTCTGTCCCATATTCCCCCCCACGGACCTTCTACACATTGGTCATCCGTAAGCAGATGACTTCAGACCTGACCGCTCCTCTGAGCCTCAGAATATCTAGCTGCCTGTTTCATATCTCCTCTTGTTGTCTTGGAACTAACCTAATTTAATTTCTTCATTCAGTGAACGGCATACCAGTTCATTTAGTTGTGCAAGCCAAAAACTGCGAGGTTATCCTTAAGATCTTTGACATCCACCTCTGCTTATCTAATTGATCGTTGAATTTTGTGGATTTCGCCTTTTCAGTATCTTGGGAGTCATGTAATCCAGCTTTAAACCCTCGTTTCCTAGGAGCTGTGTTGCCTTGGAAAGTTATATACATATTTTACTCTAAATATTCATCAGGTTCTTTGTAAGCAATATAGTCCTCATTGTTTCATTGAAAGGAACGCCAGTATTAAAAGTCTTTAAGTTATAATAATCTTAAAGATAAATGGCATATGTCTGTTTGTATGTAATGCAATTTATGTCATTTAAATATAGTTGCAGTTGTGGTTGGATAATCCAAAGATTCAGCTGACATTCGAGGCTACTCTGCAGCAGCTAGAGGCGCCGTATAACAGTAAGTAGCGTGCTCAGCTGGGGTGGTTCTGCTCTGGGTTCTGAGGATTCATAGTCCCTCCAGGAGCCTCATGGTTCCCTGGTAGTTACATTTTTAACATCATTTTTCCATTTTATTTCATTTTTGTTGTATAAAAATGAGCCTTGGAGGAAACCTGTGTTTTTCTGATCTTTTAAATTGTGTTGACAAATGAGTTTGAGAGTGCTAAATAATTTTCCTGGACCCAGTGTGTAATTGTGATCCGTGGAATACTTTGTTGGCACCTGTTTGGCTGGTTATCTACTTGCTTATTTCCCACTTACCACTTAAAAAGCATTGGAAAGTTTTTGCCAGAGTAAATGTACATTATAACTACTTCGCAAAGGTTTGGTTTTGTCCTCCATTCATCATTTTTATTATTAAGAATTCTAAATTATCTCTGATGTATGTGCATTTTGGACTCCCTCACAGGCAGTCCTGGGAATCACTTTTCCAAAGGAGTTAAAGAACCTGAAACTTGTCGGGGAACATGTGTAGAATGACACGTGTAGAATGAAGAAGAAATACAAGAGTTAAGAGTATGCTGTTTAAACTGCTGGAAATAGAAACATTTTCACCTTCATTCATTCCGTAGGTGATACTGTGCTTGTCCACCGAGTCCACAGCTACTTAGAACGCCATGGCCTCATCAACTTCGGCATCTATAAGAGAATAAAACCCTTGCCAAGTAAGCACCTTGTCAGTGAATTTCATGGTTTTAAGTTACGATTCTAGGACTGTATTTCATTTTGTTTTGATTGGTAAATCTATACTTAGTCAAAATATTCATGTTTGTCTTCCTCTGAGTTGGGTGGAGAATGTTTGGTTCAAGCACTAAATTCATTTGGTCTGAAAGTCAGAGATGCTGGAGAGAGTGAGCAAGTGAGAAAGAACACTTCCATCTAGGGTTCACTTCCCAAATGGCCGTGACCGCCCAGGCTGAAGCCAGGAGTCAGGAGCTTCATCTGGTCTTCCCTGTGGGTGCAGGGGCCCGAGGACTTGGGCTGTGTTCCACTGCTTTCCAGGCACATTAGCAGGAAGCTGATTGGAAATGGAGCAGCTGAGACTCGAACTGGTACCCATATGGGTTGCTGTCGCTACAGGCAGCTGCTTTACCAGCACCATTTTCTTTTAAAGATTTTTTATTTATTTGTAAGAGTTATAGGGAGAGGCAGAGAGAGAGATCTTCATCCATTGGTTCACCCCTCAGATGGCTGGGGCTGGGCCAGGCTGAAGTCAGAAGCCAGGAGCTTCTTTCAGGTCTCCCATGTGGGCGTTCGGATCTGGCTAAAAAGCCCATGAGAGTTTCTCAGGCATGGAAAGCCAAGACACTGTGGCAAAAAAATGACCTAAATCAAAGATCTCTGTGGGTGAGATCCCAGCAGAAAGAAGGGGCCGTCAAAGAAGGAGGTACCTTTCTCTGAAGGGAGAAGAGAGCTTCCACTTTGACTGTGACCTTGTCTAAATAAGGTCGGAGTTTGTGAATTCAAGAGGCTTCCATAGCCTTGGCAGCTCATGACAAGAGCCTTGGGTGATTACTGATGTCATATATATAAGAGTGTCAATTGTTAAATCAACAACGGGAGTCACTGTGCACTTACTCCCCATGTAGGATCTCTGTCCTTAATGTGTTGTACTATGCGTATTAACAGTAAAACTAGTCTTCAAACAGTACTTTATATTTTGTGTGTCTGTGCAGGTGCAAACTGTTGAAATCTTTACTTAGTATATACTAAGTTGATCTTCTGTATATAAAGATAATTAAAAATGAATCTTAATGAAGAATGGAATGGGAGAGGGAGTAGGAGATGGGATGGTTTGTCGGTAGGAGGGTGGTTATAGGGGGAAAAAACTGCTATAATCCAAAAGTTGTACTTTTGAAATTTATATTTATTAAATAAAAGTTTTAAAAAAACCTTTTCATACACATGCATTTCCCTTAATTTCTGATTTGATACATTTTTGGTAAAAATACTAGATTTCCAATTTTTTAAGAAAGCAGAGTTAAAACATAAATTTGTAAAAAACAAGGGAAGTCAGTTATAAGCCAGAGATTTGAGATTTTTCTCTCATTGAGCAGTCTTTATGCTGCTGATGGTTGCATTTTAAGAAATGCTGATTTGCCCCTTTAATAGTGCTGGGATAATGGCTGCCAGGGATCCAGGAGATAGGGATATTTTGGTAATTATATATTTATTTTTAATGCTTTAATAATTCTTCAAAAAGGAATGCTTATTTAATTCGACTCTAGAAGTAGAATTTAAAGGAAATAGTTTATATCCAGAACTCAACATATGACTCAACATAGGTTAAAGGAAGCAAGTCTTTCATAGGAAATTAATTATTGATCGCAGATCCTGAAACACATGAATGGATTAATGAGAAACTAAATCTTAATGGATTTGATCGTAAATATTCAACATTGCATTAAAGTGTATAAGTTTCATAAATTTGTTTATTTGTTTTCCAGTAGTTTCTGCATTTTGAAAATAACTCTGAATTACTTCTTAATGCATCATGATTTGTTAAGAACCTAGAGGTTCTCATGAAGGAGAAACATGAAAACATATGAGTATAAACTCTTAAGTACAAGAAAATATTCTGATTTTTTTGCTTTTTGCTTGCAGCTAAAAAGACAGGAAAGGTAATTATTATAGGCTCTGGAGTCTCAGGCTTGGCAGCAGCTCGACAGTTACAAAGTTTTGGAATGGATGTTACACTTCTGGAAGCCAGGGTAAGAATTTTATTTTGGCTTTAAGAAACCTGACTTAATAGAAATATGGTAAGGAGACTATCTGTGCCAGTGAAGGTGCTGCACACCTTGATTCATATAATACTAAAACACTTCTGACAGTAAAGTTTTGAAAAGTGCTTAATGAGTAGAGTTTGTTAATGATCCATATAGTGTTCATAAAAGACATTTATTTGAAAGGCAGAGTGACAGAAAGGGGAGGGAGGGAGAAAGGGAGAGGGAGATGAAGAGAGAGCGACACACACACACACACACACACACACACAATCGTCATCTACTGATTCACTTCCCAGATAGCCACAAGTGCCAAGGCTGGGTCAGTTTAAAGCCAGGAACCAGAATCTCTTATTCAGGCCTCCTGTTTGGGTACTAGGAATCCAAGTACTTGAGCTGTCTTCTCCTGCCTCTCAGGTACATTAGCAGCTATCTGAATCAGAAGTGGGGAAGCTAAGATTGAAATTGGTACTCTGATAAAATGATTCAGGCATTGCAAGCAGCAGCTTAACACATGCCACAATGTGTTTGATGGATTTTCAGATCTTTTACTTTTTTTCTTTTGTAGTTAGCTGTTAAATATGAAACAGTCATGGTCAGATCCTTTAGAGGAGGCAGTTATTTCCTGGGATGGGACCAGGTTGTATTTGCTGTGTGTGTGTCTGTGTGTGGTTAATATTATTTGTTTGTTTGAAAGAGGTGCAGAGAGAGATCTTCCATCTGCTGGTTTAATCCCCAGATGGCCAGGACTGGGCCAGGTTGAAACCAGGAGCAGGGTAGCAGGGCACAAGTCCAGCACCTGGGCCATCCTTTGCTGCTTTTCCCAGGCCATTAGCAGGGAGCTGGATTGGAAGTGGAGTAACTGGGGCACTAACTAGTGCCCATATGGGATGCTGACATTTCAGGCAGTGGCTGGCCCCTGTATGTCCGGTTTTATAGTGAAAGAAAAGTAGTTGCTTCTGAGGCAGAAGCCATCTTTTAGGACCTGATGTAGCTAATATATTTGTTTTCTCATTAGTTTTTAGAGAAGTGGATTGGAGGAGGAAAAGGATTTGGCACTTGTTGGAAAAATGAATACCACATTAATGATGCTACTATTAAAATTTATGTATAATTTCTTTTTTATCCTGGGTTTTCCCTGTCTCCAGTTGCACTAAGTATTTTGCTTAGAGCCTTTTGAGGGAAACCTCATCTTCACCTGCAGAAAAATTTATTTTATTCATTTATTCATTTAAAAGATTTTATTTATTTGAGAGGTAGAGTCACAGACAGAGAGAGGGAGATACAGAGAGAAAGGTCTTCCGTCCATTGGTTCACTCTCCACATGGCTGCAACATCCAGAGCTACACTGATCCAAAGCCAGGAGCCAGGAGCCTCTTCTGGTTTCCCACACGGGTGCAGAGGCCCATGGACTTGGGCCATCTTCCACTGCTTTCCCAGGCCACAGCAGAGAGCTGGATTGGAAAAGGAGCAGCCAGGACTAGAACCGGTGCCCAAATGGGATGCTGGTGCTGCAGGTGGATGATTAACCTACTGCGCCACCTTGCCAGCCCCTATGTATAATTTCTGAATTCTACTTGTCTTACAGTAACTTAAAGGCCTCCCTAGACTCCCAATATTTCAGAACAACAAAACAATTCTCTGGTAACCTGCACAACCTGAAATTCTATAAATGCTTTTAATATGCTACATGTAGTATAATTAAATTGTTTTCTATAAATTGTTAATTTTGCAAATACTCTTTTAAAATGGAATATGAGGAAGTGAAAATTAAATTTTATTTTCTTGATGTATAACCTGTTACTAAAAAAGTACTTGAGGGGTTAAGCTCCTGCTTGGGATGCCTGCATCCTGTATCCACGCACTGTTTGGAATCCTGTCCTGCTAATGTGCCTGGGAAGGCAGCAGATGATGGCTCAAGTGCATGAGTCCCTGCTCTCTGTGGCAGACCCAGAGGGAGATCCTGGCTGCAGGCTTCAGTCTAGCCCAGCCCTGACTATTATGGGCTTTTGGAGAGTGAACCAGAAGGTTGTCTGTCTGTCTGTCTCCCGCCCTCCCTGTAAAAGCTCTTTTTGTCTCTCTTTCCTTTTGTTGGGCCTTTCAAGTAGATGAAAATACATATAAAAATTTAGAAAACATCTGTGTGTCCTCTATACTAAGAATACAGTAAGGAATATTGGGATCATTGTGATCCCTACCCATGCGAGATCGATAAATTTAGTGTATAGATTTTTTTTTTTTGCTTTTTTGGTTGCTTATTCGGAATTTTCAGAGTACTCTCTTTTTTACCATTATTATTAAATTATCACTGCAACTTAATAAGGTTTTCCCATACTTGAAGAACCTTAGCCAGCAGAGGTGCTCTGGGCCTCTACATGTGAAAGGATTGTCAGCAGTCGTGATTGGTTGACTCTGCCATTGGCCGCGCTGGAGAACAATTTTTCAGAAAAGTCATCTTTTGTGTGATTTACAGCTCACTGTGAGGATGGTTGGCAAGAACCAGACTGTGGTGGCAAAAAATAGGTATTTAGTGTTGGAATTTGAGAACAGATATTTTCTATGTGGGTGGCTGTTGCTCATCAGACACATTAAGAGGAATTATAGACAGCTGGGTAGAGAGAGAATAATCCCTGTGACTGGGAGTGAGATGGTGCCGTCTTACCGGGGCCACCATCTCAAGCCCCAGACGCCGTTCTGTACACTAAGTTCGGCCTCTGCAGGACCCACCCTAGCTTACTAGGAGTCAGGTGACCAAATGGCCCAACCATAAGCAGCAACTCTAGCCCCACTCTACGGGATTCACTGTTCCCCTCCCTCATCCCTGCAAAGATATAACAAGGCTTGCCTTTGAACACAGGCCCTTTTTTCACTCTCTCCCTCCAGCTAGACGGGTTTCCCCCGTAAATAAACCCTTTCTTCTATTCTGGTGTTTGGTGTGTTTTGTGGTGGCCTTTTAGTGACAGTGTATGTCTGTGGCTATCAGGTTGTTTCATATCCCATCATTCAATTTTACACCTCTTACATGTGCTTCCCTACCTCATCTCCCTCAGATAGTCTGAGTGCAGTTTAATTTACTCTTTGTGCTGATTGTACTCCCTGTGAGCTGCAAACTGTATGATAAAAGAGCCCTGGTGTAGTACTGTGCCAGCATATTGTGGTTGAGATAGAATTGATGATTTTGGCTATTTCCTTTCTGAAAAACAGGATCGTGTGGGCGGACGAGTCGCTACATTTCGCAAAGGAAACTATGTAGCTGATTTAGGAGCCATGGTAGTAACAGGTCTTGGTAAGTAAGTCTTAGTTTTATGCTGCATACATAGTCTGAGACTTATAAGATTGTTTAAGCTTAAATATTTTTTATAGATTTATTTATTTTATTTGAAAGGTAGAGTAACACAGAGGGAAGGAGAGATATACCTTCTGCTGGTTCACTTCCCAAATGGTCACAACAGCCAGGGCTAGGCTAGGCCAAAGCCAGGAGCCAAGAACTCCATCTGGGTCTCTGGGTCTCCTGCATGGGTGGCAGGGCCCACGTATTTGTGTAATCTTCCACTGCTTTCCCAGGAGCATTAGCTGGGAGCTGGATCAGAAGTACAACAGCTGGGACTCCAGCTGGGACTCTGTTAGGGAATGCAGGTGTCGTAGGTAGTGGCATAACCTGCTGTGCTACAAGGCTGGCCTATCAGCTTACACTTTAAAGCCATAGATACATTTTAAAAATGTATTGGTTAGGGGCCTGCACTGTGGCGCAGGTTAAAGCCCCAGCCTGCAGCCCCAGCATCCCATATGGGCACTGGTTTGAGTCCTGGCTGCTCTACTTCCGATCCAGCTTTCTGCTATGTCCTGGGACCATGGACCTCTCTCTCTCTCTCTCTCTGGTTCTACCTCTCTCTGTAACTCTTTCAAATCAATAAAATAAATCTTTAAAAAGAAAAACCATATTGGTTTAGGATATTATGTTAGTCCATTTTCTGTCGCTAATAACGGAATATCACAGACTGGTGCATTGTAAAGAAAAGCTTGTCTTAAAGTTTGGATCCAAGGTTGAAGGCCTGTATCTGATGATGGCCTTCCTGCTGGCATCACGAAGCAATGCAAGGATCCCATGGCAAGAGACGAGGAGTGCATGTGCATGTGTGTCTCTTCTGGTCTCTTCCATTTCTTCTAGAGCCACCAGGATTTAATCATGGAGGCCATACCCTAAAGGCCCACCTGTAACACCACAGTGGAATTGAGTTTGCACCCTTTTAACACCTCACAGTGGGGAATAAACCCCAGCATGAGATTTGTGAGAACAAATCCTGCTCAAGCCTTAATTAGCAAGTATTGCTCTTGTAAGTGGCCAATTTTGTGTTTGGAGCATTTTAAATTGTTGCATTGTTTATAATAGCAGGATGTTAGAAACCAGTTTAAAATGTTACATTATAGGGGCCAGCGCCGCGGCTCACTAGGCTAATCCTCCGCCTAGCGGCGCCGGCACACCGGGTTCTAGTCCCGGTTGGGGCGCCGGATTCTGTCCTGGTTGCCCCTCTTCCAGGCCAGCTCTCTACTGTGGCCAGGGAGTGCAGTGGAGGATGGCCCAGGTGCTTGGGCCCTGCACCCCATGGGAGACCAGGAAAAGCACCTGGCTCCTGCCATCGGATCAGCGCGGTGCACCGGCTGCAGCGCGCTGGCCGTGGCGGCCATTGGAGGGTGAACCAATGGCAAAGGAAGACCTTTCTCTCTGTCTCTCTCTCTCACTGTCCACTCTGCCTGTCAAAAAATTAAAAAAAAAAAAATTAAAAAAAAATGTTACATTATAGGAAAAAATTACATTATACAATGACAACTATACAGCTACTAAAAATTATGCTGCTCCACGTTAATATTAAATGATGCCCATGGTATATTGCTGAATTTAAAAATCAAAGTACTGTGTATTTTATGATCATTTTGTGTGTGTGTCTGTCTGATTTTATATACTTAAAACCTAGAAAGAGCTGTAATGAAATGTTCATTTATCTATTTTAAGTATCTTCTCACTTTCTTCTTTATGTTGAGCCATCTTTTGAGTTTTATTTTTTGAGACATAACTCATACCTCATAGGTTTTGAGTACTTTTTATTTTTTTAATTTAAAAGAAATTTTAAAAATTATTTACTTTTATTTTATTTGAAAGAGACAGACAGTGAGATAGTGATCTTCCATCTACTGGTTCATTCCTCAAATACCTGTAACAGCCAGGACTGGGCCAGGCCAAAGCCAGGAGCCCCAAACTCCACCCAGATCTCTCATGTGGGTGGCAGGGGCCCAAGTACTTGAACCATTCCCTGCTGCCTCCCAGGATGCACGTTAGCAGAAAGCTGGATCAGAAGCAAGAAATAGCCAGAACTCAAACTAGGCCCTTTGATGTAGGATGCAGGCATCCCGGGCCGTGGCTTACCCCGCAGCACCCAACACCCACCTCTGATATTTTTTGAGTAAAAATATTTACTTTTGAGATTTTCGTTCTCTTTTCATAGATATGTTGAATTTAATTGTTTGAGTTTTTTCTAGGAGGGAATCCCATGGCTGTGGTCAGCAAACAAGTAAATATGGAACTGGCCAAGATCAAGCAAAAATGCCCACTTTATGAAGCCAATGGACAAGCTGTAAGTTGAGGACAGACAGAACTTTTTCAGATTTCTCTGGTTTAGTTGAAAATAATTTTGGGGCTGGGAGATGTGTGAATAAATCTGCACTTATAAGTATAAACTGAGGATAGAAATGATGTAACATGATGCTGCTTTGTTCCTTAATTCTGAGCTCTACAGCAAAGGGATTATTTTATATGTATATGCTTTTTGTTTGGCTGTGGCCATTTACCCCAAGAGACTTGTGGAATTGAGACCTGATTCTTCATTTCTTTGTATTGTGCTTCCCATCATGTGCTTTAGCTCCGTGTATTCTTTATGACTTTGGTTTTATGTTTATAGGCTCAGGCTTTTCGTAGGCTAACAGCCAAACGTGGTAGTAAGTATCCAAATGCATAGGTAGGTTAAAGTATTTGTCAGCCAAACAAGAGACATAGGAGCTTTCCGTGCTTAGTGTGACAGTAGCTGTAAGTGATGACTGCTTATAGGAATGATTTCCTACAAATTAGGCTTAAGCTACATGAGTTGCTCTTTTTTTTTTCCCCCTAGAGTGCTCTCATCACTGGTTCACTCCCCAAATGCCTATGATGGCTGTGATTGGGCCAGGGTAAAGCCAGAAGCCGGGAACTCAGTCCTTGTCTCCCATGTCGGGGGCAGGTACCTAACTACTTGAGCCATTATCTCTCGGGTGCACATTAGTGGGAAATTAATTGGGAGCAGAACCAGAACTAGAATCTAGGCATTCCAGTCGGGGATGTGTGTCTCCCAAATGGCGTCTTAACTTCTACATCAAGTACTTGACGGCTACCCCACCCTACCTGTCCTGTTCTGTTCTTTTAGGGATGAGTGAGATTCAGAAGTTTGTGTTTTACCAACTACTCTGTCACGCTGAGAGTCCACACCTCTCAGGCTATATTATTGTTTATAGTTTGAGGACGGGGAAATCTGCTTTGTATACAGTACTACTAGTAAGTAGTATATAGTACTATGATATATATAGTACTGTGCTGTATCATTACTACTGTTAGAAGTGATAAGATCCCAATTCCGAAAGTTTGTGTGGTGGGTGTCGGGCATCCTCACCTATTCCTGTCTTCCCTTAGGCTTTTGTGAGATTCAGGTGAGAAAAACTCAGACTTTGAGAAAATGCTTTGGTTCCCATCTCAACCATCCTGGCCCAGGTTTCCCTCCGTGGCTTCAAGGCTTCTTGTAGAATAAACAAAGTAGAATGAGAAGGATGAGGTAGTTTAAAAGTTCAGTAAATTTCTGTTGTTCTACAAAGATCTGTAAAGGGAATAGAGATGAATAAAATAGGCTTTGCCACAATCTAGGATACTAATAAACAATTCTTTTTTCCTAGCTCTTTATTTTGGAAACTTTAAACATATATACAAAAGTAGGAAGAATAGTAGGCTGAGCTCCCATTTTCCCAAACTTGTTTTATTTATCCTGTACCTTCCTTTTGTTTAAAATCGGGAATATTTTAAAGCAAATCATAAATACATTATCCATAAATAGGCCAGTAACACAGAGTCCCGGTGGATTTGCCAAGGGTGAGATAGAAGCACAGGTTGCTGTGGACGAGCCATGGGAGCAGGGGAATGTGTGGAGGTGAGAGGAACAAGGTCAGGAGAGGGTGGAGGGAAGGGTCTTTGTGAAGGGCAGTGGTTGTGGAAGGGAACGACATGGCAGGCAGAGGATGCTGTAGTCTGAGCAGTCTCTGAAGGAGGGTGGGATTGGTACTGCTGAGGGCAGGAAGATTCAGAGCTGAGGTGTAGGATGGAGCTGTGCTGTGGGAGACGTTGCTGGTTGTGCTGATTGCTTGGTTGGTCATTGAGAGGTCTGAGAGTAGGGGCAGTGCCATGATTGGATTGGTGTTTTTGGTAGATAGGCAGCAGAGTGCAGAATTGAGCTGAGGAAACAAGGCTCTGCAGTGGCTGCTGTCGCAGTAACCCACAGTGAAGACGCTCCTGGAGACACCATCTTTTTCTCTAGACTTTGCTGCATGTTCACTGAGTCTTGTTTTTTTTTTTGTTTGTTTTTTTTTTTTTCTTTTATAGGAATGCCAGCATCGCATTATAGCAACTTTAACCTGTTGCACCACAATGCTGACTCTATTCTTGTTTTTGTTTTTTAGTAAGATTTATTTATTTATTTGAAAGAGTTACAGCGAGACAGGGAGAGTGAGATCGATCTTCCATTGGCTGATTCACTCCCCAGATGGCCACAACAGCCAGGGGTGGGCCAGGCCATAGCCAGGAGCCTCTTTTGTGTCTCCCACATGGGTGGCAGGGGCCCAAACACTTGGCCATCTCCTGCTTTTCTTAGGCCATTATCAGAGAGCCAGATCAAAAGTGAAGCATCTGGGACACTAACCGGTGCCCTTACGGGATGCTGGCATCACGGGTGGCAGCTTTACCTGCAGTGCCACAATACCAGCCTCTCATTTCATCTTTCAGTAAGAAGAGAACTTTTTCTAGTAGAAATACTCAGAGAAATGGGTTGCTTTATGGGATTAGGTTCTTTTCAAACATTTGTTGCTACATAGTGTACCAGTACTACCCAGAAGTATGGCCTGCCCCTGCTGCCATTCTTCTAGTGAACTGTTGGCTACCAGCATGGAATCGGATAAACAGTTACATTCTTCACTACCCTGTTAGTTCAGGTGATGACTTTTGGACGGGGGAGTAGTAATGATTTATGTTCTGACTTACTGACCCTGTATTTGACCAGGACTGGCCTTTGGAGTAGCATTGTGGTAAACAGGTGCTAACCTGGTGGTGTGATTTCTCAGCGTTTTGTACGCAGGAATGCTTTTCCAGGGGGATAGTTATCATTCAGTTATATCTGTATGGGATTTTTCTACATTCTGTTTGTTTGGTGCAGCAGCCAGATGGTGAGGAAGATTCTTCAAGCCCCTCCAATTCAGAAAGGCATGTTTTGCAGCTGTGGGTTTCTCTTGCCTGCAGTTAATGAAGCACATGAGTGTTTCTGTGTTTTGCCCCCCAGCAGTCTAGCTCAGTGTTAGAAGGACAGCTACTGACTGTTGATCCGCTGTTGACTTGCCCGTATGAAGAGCACCATTTACTAATGCCTATAACTACAACTCTTGTCTCATGGCTTTAGAAATATAGAGGGCTAAGTAGGTTGATAATTTCATTCCTCCATTCTGCACTGTAGTCAGAAAGTTGGAAACAGACCCAGTGGCTGGTGTTCTGGCTCAAATTTCCATATTTGTTTTCCACCTGACTGATGAGGGAAGCCGGGTAGATGAGTGTGTGATTCCATCAGCTGGGTCTTCCTCTCCAAGCACTTCCCTTAGTTGTTTCTGTAGGAGCCAACAGGACCTACCTAGAGTAAAAATTCACTTACTGATTTTTCTTTAGTGAACTGTTGGGTGAAATGGCGTTATGTTCTTTTTTTTTTTGTGGATAGCCTCAGTTAAAAAAGGTAATTTGATGCTTGTGTTATTACTACATAAAAATTAACTTTGCTATTCTGTACAAGGCCAGCAGTTACTCAAGAGTTATGAACGTAACTTGTCATGTTGTCTTTTTTTTTTTTTTTTTTTTTTTTTCAAGATTATCTGAAAGGCAGAGTTAGCTAGAGAGGTAGAGGCACAGAGGTGTGGGCTGAGGTGAGGGGGTCTTCCATCCTCTGGTTCACTCCCCAAATGGTTGCAACAGCTAGAGCTGGGCCACAGGAGCCAGGAACTTATTCCAGGTCTCCCATGCAGGTGCAGGGGCCCAAGCTCTTTGGCCAACTTCTGCTGCTTTCCCAGGCCATAGCAGAGAGCTGGCCTGGAAGAGGGGCAACCGGGACAGAATCCAGCACCCCGACCGGGACTAGAACCCGGTGTGCTGGTGCCACAGGCAGAGGATTAGCCTATTGAGCCGTGGCGCTGGCCTGTCATGTTGTCTTACAGACATATCTTCTACCTAGCCATTCTGCTACCATAAGAAAAAAATCACATAGGAAGTGGGTTTTGGTATTTTTATATTGTTCTGATCACAATCACAGGGATCCTGAAAGAGTTTACATTGCTGTTCTCCATGGTCCTACGTTGGCAGCAATGATGTTGAGCTTCTGTGTTTGTTTTTGACAGTACAAGTTTATTTTGTGGTGCTGAATGGCTAAAACAAGAGCTGCCCTATGGAGGGAGGTACAGAGATATAAAGTAATGTAGATATAAAGGTTATCCCTATAACTAGAAGGACTCTCCCAAACCTTAAGTCTGTAAAAAACAGAGCTAATGCAGCCCTCTGATTGACCAGTTGTGGAGTTACACTCTGACCTCAGCTGTAATCACTTTGAACTGGATGTGGAAGAGGTGGAAAAAGGATCATGGAAGGTTGGGGAGACAGGGAAATGGCTGTGAAGGTTTTCCCTGCCTCCTGTGAACTTGAGGGCTTTAGTTCCCCCCCTTTTGGGGGCAGGGGTAGTGAAGAGTCTGAAACTCTTGCAGAGCTGTGATACTGTGTGCATTACAAGGTCTCTGGTCCCCTTTGGACTGTGTGTATCTGGTTACCACGTGAGATGCAAAGGCTCTGTAACTACTTTGAGAAACTTGGATTTTTTTTTTTTTTTTTTTTTTTTTTTTTTTTTTATTTTTGACAGGCAGAGTGGACAGTGAGAGAGAGAGACAGAGAGAGAAAGGTCTTCCTTTGCCGCTGGTTCACCCTCCAATGGCCGCCGCTGCAGCCGGCGCACCGCGCTGATCCTGGCAGGAGCCAGGAGCCAGGTGCTTTTCCTGGTCTCCCATGGGGTGCAGGGCCCAAGCACCTGGGCCATCCTCCACTGCACTCCCTGGCCATAGCAGAGAGCTGGCCTGGAAGAGGGGCAACCGGGACAGAATCCGGCGCCCCAACCGGGACTAGAACCCGGTGTGCCGGCGCCGCAAGGTGGAGGATTAGCCTATTGAGCCACGGCGCCGGCTCGAGAAACTTGGATTTTGATTTTCTTCTTGGGAATGCTCAACTGTTAGGAGGAAGATAACACATGAAAGGAAATGGTTTCCA